GACATGTGGCTTCTGTATGCCCCAAAAATCGTACTGGTGGAAACAGCAAGAGCTACGAGAAGCGAGTTGACGTTTGTACAGTAGCTCCACCAAGTGGAACAATTACCTTATCCGGTGAGTCTATTCCATATTGTTTTGATTCTGGAGCCGAATGTTCACTGGTCAATTCACCGGAAAACGATTTCACAATATTGTAACTTTAAATGGCATAAGTAACGATTCAATTTGTAGCAAATTGCAAGTTCTGAGTAATATTAATATTAAACAATATTGTTTAGAAGTTTTATTACATGTAGTTATGGACAAATATTTGAAGCATGACATGTTGATTGGCCGTGAAGTTTTAAGCCTGGGCTTTGGTGTATCAATTGATGCAGATAAATTTTGCTTTTATAAGACAAAAAGAGTAAATGTTCTGAGTCTAGTGAAGTATGAAGAAATCATATATTCTGATACCAATTTAAACGATTCTGATAAGACGATATTAAACAATATGTTGAGATGTCACTCTGATAGGTTTATTGACGGAATTCCAATGACTCGTGTGACGACAGGTCATTTGGAAATTAGGCTAATAGATCCACAAAAGACTGTGCAACGCTTAGGCTTAGCGATGATGAGAGGAAGCACGTTCGGTGCAAAATTGATGAATTGCTTACATCAAAAATTATTCGTCCCAGCTGCATACCATTCGCTAGTCCCATGATGCTGGTTAAGAAGAATAATGGCACAGATCGTCTTTGTGTAGATTACCGCGTTTTAAACGACAATACGATTGCCGATAAATATCCTTTGCCTCTTATTTCGGATCAAATAGCTCGTCTTCGTGGTTCAAGGTACTTTTCGTGTATAGATATGGCAAGTGGATTTTACCAAATCCCTGTACACCCAGATTCAATTGAGTGAACGGCCTTCGTTACACCTGATGGACAGTACGAATTCTTAACCATGCCCTTTGGTCTGAAGAACGCACTTTCTGTGTTTCAGCGTGCAATAATAAAAGCCCTGGGTCCGTTGGCACACACATTCGCAATTGTTTACATTGACGATGTTATGGTAGTAGCTAAAACGAAAGATGAAGCGTAAGAACGACTAGAGATAGTGTTGGACACCTTAAGTAAAGCCGGATTTTCATTTAATATAACAAAATGTTCGTTTCTTAAAACTAAAATCGAGAACCTTGAAATAACGAATGGAGAAATTCGGCCAAATGCACGAAATATCCAGGCATTGATAGGGTTGCTACCTCCGGAAACTGTTACTCAATTACGACAGTTCATTGGTTTAGCTTCTTACTTTCGACAATTCATTCCAAAATTTTCCGAAACATTGTATACGCTTACTTCAAAGAATAATGCTAATTTTGTCTGTTTGTCAGAACATGAACAAATACGTTTGAAAATAATAGGTGTATTGACACAGGCCCCAGTATAACTATATTTGATCCACAATATCCAATAGAATTGCACACAGATGCCAGCTCCATTGGTTACAGGGCGATATTGTTACATAAAATCGAAAATAAATCCTATGTAGTGGAGTATTATAGCAAATGTACTTCTCCGGCAGAAGCAAAATACCACTCGTACGAACTCGAGACTTTAGCAGTTATCAATGCTATGAAGCATTTTAGGCATTATTTACAAGGTCGTAAATTTGTCGACTACACTGATTGTAACTCTTTAAAGGCCAGTCGCACCAAAATGGAATTAACACCAAGAGTGCATAGATGGTGGGGGTTTTGACAGTCATTTGATTTCGATCTTGAATATAGAAAAGAAGAGCGAATGGCGCATGCCGATTTCCTTTCCCGAAATCCACTTTCAGAAGGAAATAAGTGTGCGGATAAAATAATTGAGAAGCGTATTAATCTTACTGAAGTGACCGACAATTGGTTGGTGTCCGAACAGCAGCGCGATCCTGAAATAATCAATATTTCATCCAAGTTACGCAATAACGAGTTACCGGAAAATTTAAATAAAACATTTGAATTAAGAAAGGGTATATTGCATAGGAAAATAAAGAGGAATGGTAAAACAAGGTGCTTGCCGGTAATTACAAGGTGGGCAGTGATCAACCACATACACAAATCTGTTATGCATTTGGGATGGGAAAAAACATTAGATAAGGTATATGGATATTACTGGTTCGAGAATATGACCAAGTATGTACGTAGATTTGTGGAAAATTGTATCACGTGCAAACTAGCAAAACCCCCAAATGGAAAGGTCCAGGCAGAATTGCATCCAATTCCTAAGATAGAGATACCATGGCACACAGTACACATCGACATTACGGGTAAAATGAGTGGCAAAAACGACTTGAAGGAATACGTCATTGTTTTAATAGATGCATTCACCAAGTTTGTTTATTTTTACCACATACTGAATATAGACACCGAAAGCTGTATTAAAGCTGTGAAATCGATTGTGGCGCTATTTGGATTGCCAACTAGAATAATAGCGGATCAAGGTCGTTGTTTTGCTAGCTCAGGCTTTCGCAATTTCTGTTCCGCTCAAAAGATTCAGCTGCATTTGATCGCTACCGGAGCTAGTAGGGCAAATGGACAGGTTGAACGCGTGATGAGCACACTTAAGACAATGCTGACAGCAGTTGAAACGAGTCAGGCATTGGCTGAAGTACAACTGGCCATGAATTATACTGCAAATCGAGTCACCAAGTTTAGCGCTTTAGAGCTATTAATAGGAAAAGAAGCTAGGCCTTTTGGTTTATTGTCAATAAACGAAGAAGACAATGATGTAGATAGATAACAGATTAGAATTCAAGCCAAGGAAAACATGGAAAATAATGCAAGATATGACCAACAAAGATTTGACAAACTAAGGCAAAAATTATGAGGCATAGCGTAGGTGATCATGTTTTGCTGAAAAACGAAGAACGGCATCAGACAAAACTCAACCCCAAATTTGAAGGTCCATTTGAGGTGATCAAAGTCTTAGACGCGATCGATATGAACTAAAATCATTAGTTAATAAGCGAACGTATAAATATTCACATGAGTGGCTAAGAGCGCTACCAAGCAGACAAATAATTAACGAATTAAACGAAGAATTCGGTGGCCTAAGTGATGGCGATTCCCAGGAGGGGAACGAACTAATAGACGGCGTCAGTAAGCGTGCGCCTGTGTCCCAAGAGTTGAATTGAGGACCGCACCATAAACAGCTGTCTCACAGGGATGAGAAGTGTTATGGCGGGGGTCAAGGTGTTTGGGTGTAAGTGTGCACACCAAATTGAATTGAGGAACTGAGAGACAAGTCTAAGTTGTGTAAAATCTGAATTATTGGAAAATTCTGATTAGAATTGAATGATGAGAATAAGATCATGAAGTTGAAGATGTATTATGTTTGTAAACAAAAGGAAATTGTGTTTCCTAGATAAGAAAAATTGTCAGTTATTGTTTTTGTAAGCGGCTCTGTAAGTTTGTAAATTGTAAGAGAGAATAATGTTATTAAAACCAAGAGATACCATAATTAAAAGAGTCTGGTGTGTGATTTGGACATGGGTGGTGGATGTAGCACACGAGGACGTGTGATAGGTCAGGAAGGCCGTGTCGCAGTGTGATTCCTAGTAGATGTAGCATTCTGGTAATTTGGGAATTCGGGGAATTCCCTGCTTCTGCTTTACTAGCTGATATTGAGCGAAAGCACAGCAGTAGAGGCAGAGACGCTCTGCTCCTGAGTGAGGTTCGATGGTAAGACACCAAGAGTCTTGATTAAGACAGAGCTGGCTGCATACGCTCGACTTGAGTGAGTTTATGACGGACGTGAGCGCGTATGCTGAAATAGTTAGTTGAGCTTGGGTATTCTAACCGATCGGAGCTCGCTGTGCAGCTGCGTCAATCATCAAAAGAATCAACATGGATAACATACCCTTGCCGCCGGCCGACATACCATTGCCGCCGACATATACCTTATTCCTTTCGCTACTTTTTTAGTTTTAGCAATTTCGGCAAAGTCTGCAAGGGTATTAAAACTTCGGATTTCCGAAGTTAGCTTCCGTCCTCGTTCCTGCTTACAACAAAGTCAGAGAAGCTAAGTCAAAATGTAGACCTTTTCATATTAATGTAACCGAGTCAGTTGCTGAAGTTCCGCTGCAAAGTCTTCTAGACCACACTAGTTGCCGTATAATTCAAATGGAAGAAGATATTTTTAAGCAGCTTGGCAATACTTTAAGTCTGACCCTTATTGCAAGCTATGGATTTTACGGAACAAACGGACAAAGTAGCTATAAGCAACCCTTTTTTGGATGTGATTCATTGCTTTCTGACGACTCGCTTTTTGCGACAACAATAATCCCCCTAAAATTAATGGGCCATAAAGGAAACGTATTTTGGATGAATCGTACTCTTCAGTCGATTAGATTTTGAAGACCAGTCAAGCTCCGTTGTAAATGGAAAATCAATTTCAAATAATATAAATATGATCTTCAAATGACACTTTTAGATGGAACAGTTTTAAACATTTTGACTGAAACCAAATCTTGCCAAATGTGTCCGATATGTGGAGCGAGTCCAAAAGTCTTCATGGAAAATGCTAAAATAGACTCACCAAAATTTAAGCCAAGACATGAAGCATTAAAATATGGCATTAGTCCTCTACATGGTTGGATTCGATTAAACTTAAAAAATGGCAAGTGAGAGATGAAAATGGAAAAAAGAAATGGCGAAACAAAAAAAGACGATTCAGATGCAGATGTGGAATGCTATGGCTTTACATGTGGATAAGCCTAAGCAGAATGGCAATGGAAATACCAACGACGGCAATACAGCAAGGAGGGCGTTTGCACAACCTAAGCTACTAGCTGAAATCTTAGATCTTGATGAATTTCTCATTGAACATTTTAACAATATTTTAATTTCAATTTCTTGTCACCTACCAATTGATCCAACAAAATTTTAAAAATATTGTCAGAAAACCATATCACTATACATGTCCTTGTATCCATGGTTTCCAATGTCAGCAACAGTCCATAAAGTCTTAATGCACGGATACCAAATAATAGAAGCATCAATCCTTCCATTAGGTGTTCTCGGCGAGAACGCCTCAGAGGCTCGCAACGAATACTATAAGAGTGACAGGAGGTTACATGCTCAAAAGAGTACACGGCAGAACAACATGGCAGACGTTTTCTACAGAGCAATGGATTCCTCAGATCCTCTTGTGTCAAGCAACTATTTAACAAAAAGATTGGGTAACCAAAATAAACTACCCCTACCAGCAGACGTAATTGAACTTTTGGAATCACCAAACTTGCTATATTCTTGTAACATGAACAATAATAACAATGTTCCCGATTTTGATGCTAGCAATAATGATAGTGATTCAAATTCTGACTCTGAAAATCCGTTTTCAATAGAAATTGATGTTACGACGACTGTTAGGAACATTTTTAAATGTAAAATACCCATTTATAGTCATTTTTAATCGATTGTTATTTTTTACTTATTAATATTAAGGTTAAGTGTTAAAAAAAATGAAAAACATTTGTTGAATTTAACGAGTGCTAGCATTATTTATTACTGTACAAGTATCAATAAGAGGAAAACTATCTCATATGGGCGGCTTGGGAAGGCGTGGTCAGATCAGTCTGAAAATTAGATATATTTTTATGTGCATCGACACTATCATATGTACCAAACTTTAAAACTTTAATTTTCGTCGAAAAATCGGGTCGGTAGAGCCTAGATACTCGCGACATTTTAATAGTTGCAGGCGGGCTTATTACCCTGTGGAATTTGTAATAATAAATAATAACTATAAACAAGTCACTTGAGAAGATTGATTTAAAAGTTAGCTTTGGTGGAAACCTATTTGTTCTCGGACCTAAAAAGTAATTTAAACATTTGGTTTATACAGAGTGTAATACTTTTAATCACTTTTAACGGCTTCATTGCGTTGTAAAGCCTATAGGTCTTTCGGCCGTTGTTAAAGCTCAAAATTATCAAAACATTAATTTTGGCAACTTGCGGTAAACTTTCTCAAAACATTGCTACTAGATTCGTAATATACGCACTAATCGAAAGTGTTATATTTATTTATCTAAAAAAAATAAAGCTAAACTTTTTTCCACAGTGTATTTTAAAAATATTTAATCTGACATTTTAAACTTCAATTATAGTCTCACATTTTTATTTCAGTTTAAATATGAATCCATCACATAACAAAAACATGGATCTATCTTTGACGCCCGAGACAGGAAATATTCAAACCCAATATACATCATTTCAAAATTTTGAACAATTTTCGGCATCAGGATTTACAAACACGCCTGTATATATAACAAAACCGCCTGGAATTGGTTCCATATCCCAAATAGTCCCACATTGTTCACTTCTTGGCTCCCAAAATAAAATCGAGACCACTTCTCCAGACATTTCCATTCCAGCTATTGAAAATCATTCATTAGCTCCGACCGTAAGATATGCACAAGCAGGACAATTTGAGGATACACCAGATTATGGTGTGGCTGGTATACATTGTGGCGTGGAGTCAGAGTACGCTGATGAATCCGTTTTACCTTTCTCTTATACGTCAGAAGCTAACTACACAGGAATTAAAAGCACAATTTCAAACATAAAACCCTTTTCTGGAAGATCTTATAATGATAACGTTAATGGGTCCGAAGCAATAGCTGATTCCCAATTTCCAACGTTCGACAGTTCTGCAGAATTTAAATTACCCCAATTTGCAATGAGTTCGTTGAATACTGTGCCTCAAAGATTGGGAGAAAAAGATGAATATATTGGAGGGTCAGAAAATGATCTTTGTTCAACGATGAGGTGGAGGGATCCAAATCTTTCGGAAGTTATAAGTTTTTTAAGCAATCCGAATAGTGCTATTAAGGCAAATGCTGCAGCATATCTACAACATTTATGCTACATGGATGACCCAAACAAGCAACGAACAAGATCTTTGGGAGGTATACCACCATTAGTTCGATTGCTATCCTATGATTCTCCAGAAATACATAAGTAAGTAAAAACGTATAAAACTAAAACCGATGTTGGCCCTGGCTAGATTAAGTTTATGAACCCTTTCAAAAACAATTCTTTTTTTAATAGTTATTCATCGGATTTCAGGTTAAATGATTTTTTTTAATGAACTCGGCAAAAAAAGTATTTAAAGATATGTAATAAAATAACAAACGGAGCAAACTTGCAAACCCTTACTATATAAAAAACCGAAACATTGAAATCGTTAAAAAAAAAATTTGTTTCGTGTTTTTCTGTTTCGCATTCTTTCTTCTTCACAGGCAAAAGCAGTGCAGCGGCATCGCTACCCTGCAGTTCCACCTTTTTATACCCTTGCAGAGGGTATTATAATTTTGGTCAAAAGTGTGCAACGCAGTGAAGGAGACATCTCCGACCCTATAAAGTATATATATTCTTGATCAGGATCACCTCCTGAGTTGATATAGCCATGTCCGTCTGTCCGTCTGTCTGTCCGTCTGTCTGTTTCTACGCAAACTAGTCTCTCCGTTTTAAAGCTATCGAATTGAAACTTTGCACACACCCTTCTTTTCTTTGCACGCAGTATATAAGTCGGAACGGCCGGGATCGGCCCACTATATCCTATAGCTGCCATATAACTGATTGATCGGAAATGCTATAACTTTGGTGTTTGTTAAGTTAGGAAGTTGGGAATGGGTTTTATTTTTGGCCAATCAATCCGACCTACCAAATTTCATAAGGATCGGTTGACTATATCCTATAGCTGCCATATAACTGAACGATTGGAAATGCCATAACTTTGGTGTTTTTAAAGTTAGGAAGTTTGGATTTTTTATGAGTATTAAGAATGCATCATATGAATAATTTTGGAGAATATAATTTACAGAGTATTCTGCAAGGGTATATCAACTTCGGTTCCGCCCGAAGTTAGCTTTCCTTTCTTGTTATTCATGAATCATAACAAAGAAATTAATAACTGGTGATGATTAATCAATGAGTTTTCGTACAAAATAGTGATGAATTTAACATTGGCACGTTCTAGGAGTAAAAAATACAACGAATTAGAATCCTTAATTCATTACATTTTTACTATTTCAACAATATTTTTATGTATTTCATTATAATTTTTTTCTTATAATTCTAAATCTTGTTGGAGGTTTATTTATTAAGTTAATTAAAATAATGTGAATTTTTTGCATAGTCGGACATGCTTTTATATACCCTGTTTTGAGGTGACGAGAAACATGTAAAAACAAATTGTGCAACGGAAATAACAATAGGATTAACGAAGGCATTGTTCTTGCGCTTTCTGTTTTTTGGAAGGCACGCGCCTTTCTCGCTGTCTTTACATGAACTTGCATTTAATTACCGTAGGGAACGGATCGGAGTCGAGAATTTTTGTGAAATGGTAAAAATTTAATTTATCAGAAATTTTGGTGAGTGTACTAATTTAATTATTCAAAATGCTTAGAATATGCCAATTTAAACAGTTAAACTTGCAATGCTCGTCGACCATTTGGAACAAAAAAAATAAATTATCGAAGCAACTAATATAAAATAATACACAACAAAGAATTAATAACACACCTTTTGTACCTATATTGACAGAATGGTATAAGGTTGGAGAAATGCAATTTTATCTGTTTAATATAAATAAAACTTAATATAAAAAATAGCAGTAAATTGTAAAATTATTATTATTTCTGTTTTTCTATTGTTTAAACTGTACCTTTACTGCTCATATTTTTATTCCTAATTTTAGGTGAAGCTTATAATAAAACTAATAGGCCAACATAAACTAAGTTGGACTTGGCAGGCGGCAAAGCAAGAAACACAATAAAAAGTGCATAACTTTTTTCGAGTACTACTGAGTAAGATTTTATATAATTTATAATCATTTTTTCATTTTAGATATACTTGGTCGGGGAGAGCCAGCACATAAAGCACGCTGTCAAAAAAATGTACCCAAGAGCACCGAACCTTAAACATCCCCAACACCCCCAATACAACTGAAAACGTAAATTGAATTAAGATTAATATTAAGAACTATAATAAATAATAATAATAATCAGTAAATGTAAGAAAATATTTTAATTAAATAAAGTGAAATATTATAAGTTTATTTACTGGTGAAAATGCTATGTATTACTGATAAAACTGCGATGAAATACTGATAAAATGTGATGAATTTTCACTGATTAACTCCTAGGACATGCCAATGTTAAATTCATCACTATTTTGTATGAAAATTCATCTATTAATCATCAGCAGTGATAAATTTTTGGTCATGATTCATCAATTAAAAGGTGATTAATGGAACTGCAGGGCTCGTTCTTATGCAATTTTCCCCCGATGGCGTTAAGTGCGAATAAACGTTGTTCTAGACATGCAAGGAATTCTTTTATTGAATTTCCCTGTTACTAAATTTTTTTGCTCATAAACTGTGTGTTTAAGTCGATATAGATTTCTTGTCATATGAAAAAATACACTGGATACCATGTATCTACATATCTTGATTCAAATATTTGTCAAGGCTTGGCAACGATTCATTGGTTTCGCCATGCTGATTTTTCATACGTCACATTACGGTGATTAAACAATTTTTCAATTATATCGGTAGAAAAGACGCGCTTATTATTGAAACACTCTGTTAGCGTAACTGCTGTTAATTTGAAGTGCCTGACTTATTTTTCCAAGTTTTTTTATTTTTGGTATCGTGAGCCATTTTATTAAAAATATCCTGAAATTGTTAACATTTTAGATAGCTTCTATCAAACATTGTAATGGAAACTTTATTCGCCTGTATTAAAGAGATTGTAGACACCGCTTTATTATTGGCTACCGAAACAGTTTTAGCATATGGTTGACAAAATTGTAACATTGCTTTATCGTTCCACACTATAGCCTACTTCATCAGGTTCGATTTAAAAATTTTCGATTACTGAATAAGTAAAGCCTAGTACTCAGATCGAAAAACGAGTTCGCTAGCGGAAAGACTTTAATCTTTCCAGTGTGAAACTAATTTCGGAGTTCATCCGAACCCTGCGTACTACAGTCTAACTGTCAAACAGCTGGGTTTGTTGACAAGCAGTTAAAATTCAAAAACCGTATTTGCGGGAAAGAGCCTTTAAAAGATATTATCAACTACCTACAAGTCTGACGCTGTACAAAGAAATTAAAAAACAATACAATTTAAATTTACCCGTTTTTTTTAATTTATTGATAATTATTTGCTAATTTAACGTTCATAGCTGCACTTAGTTCTAACAACCGATTTATCTAAGTTTTTTATATGTTTGTACAATAAAAGCGCAGTACTAGGCTTAAATATGTTTTATGGAGCTGGTTCATAGTTCTTGACATAGATTCCTGAACCGGCTCTTGGTGGTCAATTGTTGAATTTTCCACTCCTCCTGAAGAAGTTTATATTGCTGCCAATTGAAGCACTTTAGCATTGAGTTCGTCAACAGCTTGATAAACAGTCATTCGCATTTGATTGTAATACTGTTTTTCAAAAAAGTGGTGGGAAAGATGTTCAGTCATAGAACGCACTTTAGAGCACATGTTGACTTATCCAGCAATGATCCAACCAAATTACTTCCTTTGGTCTTATAATGAAGAAATGTTCTTCGCCAAGCAGTAAAATAATTTTTAATAGTCTTGCCAAATGAAGATCTGCTTCATTATTAGGATGCACAAAACTTGTTCTGTTTTGATGTAATTAGCACATTACGCGACTGGCCTACAATTCCCTCAATGCGTCGACTATGTAATAGTCGACAACTCCAAAGAAGAAGCTTTTACAAGATTGAAAGTTTCTTAAAACCTTGTCAGATGCCGGATTTTCATTCAATATTAAGAAGTGCACATTCTTCAAGACAGAAATAAAGTAACTCGGGTTTTATATTACAGATGGCGAAATCAAGCCCAATCCTTGAAAAATTGAAGCTCTGTCCGCATTAAGTCAACCAACCACGCAGTTAAGACAATTTATAGGTTTGGCTTCATATTTTAGACAGTTTGTTCCGCGATAATAATTAATAACGGATAATTGGCTAATCGTTGAACAACAGAGGTATTAAGGTATAGTTGATATCATAACACAATTAAATGGAAATGAGATGCAAGTTGACAGAGCAAAAACTTATGAAATTAGAGCCGGATTGTTGTATCACAGTAACTCCGAGAGCCTTTAGGTGGTCGGTCATTAATCATGTGCACGAGGTTATAATGCATCTTGGATGGCAGAAGACTCTAAACAAATTCTATGAACAATATTGGTTTGAAAGTATGTCAAAATAATTTTTTTTATTTTTTTATTTAACTTTGCTTTTATTTATTGAATCTTCTCTTAATTTTGAGACTAACAATAAGTTTACGAATCTTAACATTAAAATTTAACTAACAGTATAATAAGACTGCATTCTGGTTGCGCGTGCCTCAAGTCGGTCGCTGGGTGGGTAAGTCATTGCGACGAAGGCGTGATTGGTTGATCAACCTTGTAAGACCTCTCGCCAGGTGGTTAGGGTGCAACGATAGCTTGGTAAAGTACTTTTCCTTCTGTTCTGCGATCACTTCTTTGACTGGTAGAATGTTTAAGTCGCGATGTATGTTTTCGTTGCGAACGTACCACGGTGCCCCGGTGATTGTTCTCAAGATCTTCGACTGAGCTCGCTGGATTATGTCAATATTGCTATTGCTGGCATTCCCCCATAACTGAGAGCCGTACATCCATATAGGTTTTAGTACCGAGTTATACAGCAGGACTTTATATTCAAGATTAAGGGGAGCGTTGATAAGCCAATGAAGGCTACTGGCTTTTAGCTTTAGGTGTGTTCTTTTGGCTTCAATGTGCCGGCGCCATGTGAGTCTTCTGTCGAGGTGTACTCCTAGATATGTCACTTCGTTTGCTTGCGGGAGTAGAGTATGGTTTAACATGAGCGGCGGGCAGTTTTGCCTGTTCAGGGTGAACGTAACGTGCTTGCATTTTTGTTCGTTCACTTTAATTCGCCAATCTGAAA